CTCAAATGTAAATATATATATATTTATGTAAAGAATAACCATTGTAATTTATATGGAATAAAGTATTTTGCAAGGACACATGCAGTCTGCATGTGTCCTTGCACATCCTGTAAACTTCTTCCTGAGCAGTGCAGTGTAAAGTCATCCACAAACAGACTACATGAGACAGCACTTGGAACGACCTTTACGATGTCATTTATAGCAATGGCAAACAGGGTCACACTTGAGACGCTCCCTTGTGGGACCCCTTCCAGCTGATCTTCCAGGTTAGAGAAGCTGTTTCCCACCCTCACTCTAAACTTCCTGTTAGCAAGGAAGCTTTGTATAAAGGTTGGCAATGCTCCTCTTAAATCAATTTATGCCATGCTTCCAAATAGTATCATAAGCCTTTTCAAGGTCAAAGAAGATTGTGAACATATGACGTCACTGTGTGAAGGAATTCTGTATAGCAGTTTCCATCCTCACAAGTGCATCTGTGGTCGATCTCAGTTTTCTACACCCATATTGATATGGGGTCAGCACGTTTTCTTTTTCTAGCAGCCATGTCAACCTGAAGTTTACCATTTTCTCTATCAACTTGCAGATGCAGCTGGTGAGAGAAATTGGTCTATAATTCCCTGGTATGGAAACATCCTTGCCAGGTTTAGGGACAGGAATGATTATAGCTTCTTTCCATGTGGATGGCACTGTGCCTTCCCTATAGTTCCTATTGAACAGGTCCAACAGGAACGTTTGGGAGCTATCCGGTAAGTGAGATATCATTTGGTATGGAATATCATCACTTCCTGGGACAGTCTTACGGCAGAGCTGCAAAGGAGAGTCCATCTCCTTGCGCAAAAATGGCAAGTTGTATGGAAGTTCTGCTGCAGTGCTACTGAAGAATGACACTGGGTGTCATAGCTGTTCAGCCTGAAGAATGGAGGATCGGGCAGTGTAAGATGCTCCAGAGGAGATCTCTGCCATGGATTCTGCCAGCTCATTTGCAACATCTATTTTGTCTGTGAGGATTATGCCATCTATTTTCAGAGCAGGTGGTGATATGGATGTACTCTTCCCGGCGATCTTACGCAGCTTGTCCCATACCCATGCTAAGGGGGTCCCAGAGTTAATCAAGGAGACATACTGCCTCCACGATATCTGTCTAGCCTCCTTTAGCACTCGCCTAGCCTTGGCTTGGGTCTTTTTGTACTGGATCAAGGTTACATCGCTTGGGCGTCGTTTCAACTGCTTTAATGCAGCTTTTCTTGCTCTGATAGCTTGTTAGCATTCATCAGACCACCATGGTACTGGAGGTCGACGGTACTGCCCGCTACTTCTGGGAATTGATGCTTCTACT